TGCACATGGTCAAGCGGCATACCCACAAAATTTCAGTTCCCTACCTTCCGTGGTTCCCGAGATACTGATTTTGCCCGCCAAAAATTTCACGGGGCCGTACGTATTACCCGTGAGTACGGGAAGGTGGATTTAAACTTGCTGCGTCACATGTTGGAAGGAAACACCATACTAAAATTTTAACAACCTAGCTTTTGAGGTTCCCGAGTTGAAAGTGTGGGACAAAATGTGGGGCACACACACACACACACATACACACACACACAAACACACACAGACAACCCCGTAACAATGTGCGTTTTATACTGCTGTTATGCAGCATAAAACGCATAAAAAAAAACTATAAAAAACCGAACTTCTATCCTCACTACCGCAGGTCTGCTAAAGCGATCACTCGTGAGAAAAAGACATTACCAAGATTAGCGTCAATTTCATTATCCATCGTCTCCCAACGGGTTCCCTTGATTGCAGCACGCGAGCTTGCGCTTAACGTTGGACCAGATGCAGATACTGCGCCACCACTATAGCTTGAATTAGCACTAGAAGCTGTGCTCAGCTTATCCACTGTGGCGTGAAGGCTTGAATCGGATCTGGACGGTGGCATCTGTAAAAACAATTTTTACGGCTTATATATTGTGTTGGACATGGCACAGTGACAAGCAGTGCCACCCTCCTCCTTTCGTGCACAGCAAGACCGACGGTTCAGTCCTACGAGTGTAACTGCCTTTTCTACAATTCCTGGACATTCATTCGGCTTGACAAGTTGGCTTTAAAGTACGCCAAGAAAAATCCTCCGAAGAAAGAAGTGTCCATGTCTTTACCATTGCTTGTATAAAATATATGAGTTCAATAATTTTTTTTTTTGCTTTTTTTCAGCCTATGAATAAAGAATGCGATTGCATTCTTGCACGTTTACAGTTTTCCCTAATTTCGCCCTTCCCTTTTTTTATGCCCAGAAAAACCTTTCCTGTCCCCATTTATCTCCTCCCTTATCTTCCTTTAACCCCCTTACCCCATTCCCTTTTCCCTTCTCATCCCCTCTTACCACCCTTTTCCCTACATTCCAAAATCCGTTGGCGGAGAACAGTATACCAAAAATTTCAGCCGCCTAGCTTTTGTGGTTCCCGAGTTGAAAGTGCAGGACAAAATGTGGGACACACACACACACACACGCACAGACAAACCCATGACAATATGCATTTTGTAACGCTGTTACACAGCACAAAACGCATAAAAACAAACCGCTCGCTCCTCTTTAGGTGCGCGTGAAAATTTGTTTTTGAAGAATCCGCCGAACACCGACTTGAGGCTATTCAGATTGCGCTGCGTCATTTTGGTTGTTTTATCAATTTCGTCTAGATTCTTCTCCGTGTGCTCCAACTTCTCTCTCTGTGCCAGCAGATCCTAAACATTATGAAAATAAGTCCCAAAGAAAAACTAGAACACCAAATTAAAATAATTCAAGAAAAACCCAGAACTAAACAACGCATAGTAAAGGCGGGAGGCGGAGAGGGATGTGGAGAAATGCAGCGCAGTAGGGAAAGAAAGCTAATCTCAGTAACAAGTGAAATAAAGAAGGTCAAGATGCAAAAGCCTCTATCAGCAACTCAAATGTAGGCAGTAAAAGGGAAGTAAAATCAGCGAAGAGCGAAAATACTGCCAAGGAGTGCGAGTTTTGGACAAAAAGACACTAAAATAAACTCTAATGCGCCAAACCGACCCAGAAACCCTTAACAGTCGCTGAGAAAAAATATTACATTTTCATGAATCACACGTGTTAAAGCAGGAAGAGGGGCTATCCTTTCTTGAGGGCATGCAGCAAGATCGAATCCCAGCCATTTATGTGGAGCAGCATAAGTTACCGCCAGAATAAAATGCAAAACTGATAGAATACCTGTGCAGCGCCGATGCCAACCTGTTCGCTCTGTTCCAAATTCTTCCTGGATCGCTGTGTGCTGTCAAGCGATTCTTGCATGTAACGCTCCAGCTCTCGCTCATAGAAATTAACGTCGTCCTCGATATTGCCATTGCTATTGCCTACTGTCGTATAGCTCTTTACGGCTCCTGCAAATACGCCAACTATAAAAAACTTTAAATTTTTTCTCACGAAAGTGCAAATCGTATCATTTCAATCATGATAACTTTGCTGCATTCCAACATGTGCTTGTTTGTGCATATACATGTATGTGTGTGTATGTGTGCGTGTGCGTGCGTGCGTGTGTGTGTGTGTGTGTTTGTTGGTCAATCAGATTCGACTAGCAGCGCACGTCTTTTTGGGTGCTGAAATAAGTTCAACCAGAAAAACTGCTTGATAAGGATGGCCTTTTTCATTTCCTCACTCAAGGACCCAATGCAGGAAAACACCAAGTTAAAGAAGGTGAACTTTTTACTAAAGTGAGAGGTAACAATCTTAATAAATCCTCCCTGAATGTGACATATTTACATCAAACACTGTCACAATGTGCTCAAATCGCCAGCACAATAACTTTCGAATTGCTTCAAATTTTGTTAGAAAATTTAGAAACTGCCGCTTATGTACTAAAGTTAATATGAACATACACATATTTCTGGTGCACTAAAAGGAAAGGAAGAATGGTTAAACGGCGACAAAAACAAAGTTAAACCCCTAATACGCTGCAACAAAAGCAACACTCCATCGACCAGACAATCGATTTGGGGAAGCTGTATTAGTGTTGTTACCGCTTAGAGGTTGGGCGCAGCTATTCTAGGCCTTAAGATACAACAACAATACCTAAATTATACAAACTAAGTGCATATTACGATGAAAGCAGCCCAACCAACTAAAAAAGTTGCCATCTGTATAGCTGGGCAAGTTATGACTACGACTAATTCAAGTATACATCAAAACCCCTTCCGTATTCGGAGGGGTTTTGATGGCTCCAAAAGCAATTTCAAAAGTCAAAACCCCCTCCGTATTCGCTTTCAGTGAAAAACAGACGCATTTGGCAGCAAATATCGACAACTACCCGTTAGCAAGGCTCTCGATGGCTTCGTCTTTCGAGTGTTGCTTACATG